GAATGTCTGGAGCAAATCCCAAAATTTTCTGCCGCCAGTCGAATTTGAAGATGGATTTCATCACGAAAGAATATTGGCTGCTGCTGCTTCTGCCACCTCCAATTCTTCCGATCACTGTGGCTCTAAGGTAGTATATTCTTTGCTCATTTATCCAACGTTTTTCTGCAACTAGCTTATAAACAGCTAACAGATCAACCCTTTTTTTTCTTTTGTAAGTTCCAAGCTAACAAATTTCTAACTTACTTTGCAACTTTTTGTACTGACAACTGGTTTGCTGTTGTTGCAGGGAATGACTTCTTTTATATCGCCAGATGGTATGAATCAGCTCAACATATTCATTTTTGTACTAGCAGTAATGCAGATTGTGTACAGTGTTCTAACAATGGCTTTGGGAAGAGCCAAGGTAAGCTCCAGCACCTTCAATTTTGTCACAACCCTAATTCAGAGTGCTGTTTAACAAGGACAATCTAAGCAGACTTAATTTATTAAGGACCCCAGAAAATAAAAAGTCAGTTACTGCAGCCGCCGCACACATAAATAAAGCAGCCTTCGTTCAAAGTAGTACTATAATAGGTTACCTATAATTAAGCTTACTTTGAACAGTTTTTTTTTTGTCCCTTGGGTTGGGCTTTTCTTCCCTCTAGAATCTGTTGACTTATTAAGCAGTGCTATTTAGTGTCAGATTTGAAATTAGCTCATGAAAAGTGGAAGTTTTGGACAGCCTCATACATATAGGTGCAGTCTTTGTTGGCTTTCCGGTGAATAATTCCAGCATGATCCATTTGTTGTTGTAACGAACCTAGATTGAACACAAAATAGAGCGAAACAGATACTCAGAGCTAAAAATTGAAAGAGAAGACAATGAGCGCATTTGGATTACACATTATTTTCACCTTATTTACACACACTGACTTGCTTATTATTAGACTATTCCCGTGCATAGGTAGGTTATTTTGTGAAGCGAACGATCTTACTATTTAGCAGTAATTGGATTCTGAGATGATGATAATAACCTTTGTTGTCGGCTAGCAATTCTACTTTGGTTTCGACGGTTGGTCACCAATTTCATTCATAATAGTTGCTAGATGTTAAACTTAAAACTGAACTATCGATCGGGTACCTTATTTTCCTAAGACTTTTCTGGTCGCTCTTTAATTCTCCTACCACAAACGGTGTTGATCTTATCTAGTCAGAATCAAGAAGACATTTGTTGGAGGTATTAAAAATATTTCAAAAAATCCACACACACACACATATGTACTGCTATTTTTTCCTGCATTTATTTACATTTGTGTTTATTATCCCATGATTTGTTGGCAGATGAGGCGTTGGAAAAGTTGGGAGAAGGAGACCGAAACCGTGGAATACATGGCTGCTAATGGTACTACATTTTTCTAGTTTTTTCACGAGTCTTCCCCATTAACGTTTATAAACTCAACTGACATAAGTAACACGATAAATAATTGATGAAATAAATTGTTAATTGTTTAATGACTTAATCATATCTAACTTAGCGGATCCGATGTTTCCACGTGTCTTCGAGAAATTAGTGAACTAATCAGTGAATCCATTATTCAACAGATCCTGAAAGGTTCAGGTTTGCAAGGCAAACAACCTTTGGACGAAGGCACATGAGCGCTTGCACAGAAACACCTACTCTGTTGTGGATTGTGGGTGAAAATGATTAGCAATCTAAATTCATCTTTGACAATTACTACTGCTAAACATTTGCTGATGGGTGACAGTACTGTTTTGGATTGCCTACAGAAATGCTTTTTCAGGCAATTCTTCCATTCAGTAGCCAAAGTTGACTACCTCACCCTCCGCCATGGCTTCATTTCGGTGTGTAACATTTCTGATTCTTTTCTGTATGTTTTCTACATCAGATGAAGACCCTTTTTGCCCTTTTAACTTCTAACGTTTTAATCAAATAGTTAAAGAATTAAGTTGAACATTTCAAGGGTTTAAAGAAGAAGAAGAAAAAAAAAAGAATAGTCCCACAAATGTCTTTGGAGTGACATCTCCAAAAAGAAGGTCTATGGGACAAATTGTCATTTTCAATCTCTCGTTGACTTGTTCTTTTGGTATGAAATCCTTCATTCACTCGAGTGTACCTTATCTCTGATAATCTGGCTGCAGGCTCATTTGTCCACAAACAAGTCCTTCAATTTTCGCAAGTATATACAGCGATCTTTGGAAGACGATTTCAAAGTGGTTGTTGGAATAAGGTATTGATTGCAACTACTCTACTATAAATCTTCTCTTCTTCGGTCAAAATTTTACAGTTACTAGCAACCTATGTGTGCCTTGTGGACGAGTGGTATAACTTAAACTTGTCCACCTCCTTAAAGTTGACTTATTGACTAACAATCTAACAGGAAATCAAATTAACATTGACTGGTACAGTAATATTTTCCAGAAGTAACCACCAGAATATTAATAATGCTGCTGAGTTCTTAATTCGTTGACTAACTAACATCCTTTGCCTCTAAAACGAAAAGGAGTCGGAAAATAAAGCAGTTCTGAAATAGTTATACTATTGTCCATAAGGGTCTAAGCTTTTGATCCTTTATGTTTCATACGCATTTCCATTTTATCTCTAACGTGAACATTTGGTACAAAGTAATTGTTGCCAAATGCCATAACTTTTGAAACATGTTACCAGATGTGCCAATTTGAGTATTTTTAAACACATATGAGGCACCGTCAATAAAATGTGCCATTGATATATGATTAGACGGTATCAGGCTACTAGGCCGAAAAGTGTATCTTCCTTTGTGCTACTGTAGCAAGGACATAATTTTAGTACGCCGTTAGCAAGGGCATTGACACAATGGATACGCATATGATGGTTTTTTTTTTTTTTAGCGATGATAATTGTTATATAATCTAATCTATCCTATACTAGGGGAGGGGGCGGATCCAAGGAAGTCTAGGGCTAATTCGAAGGGGATTAAACCACCATCGGACTAAATGGATGCACTACGCACCCGCTTAGATTTTTTTTTAAGCAAAGTTACTTTTAATGTGGCAAACCTTGCCTCCCACCCCACCAAGTTTTAATGTTAGCCCAAAGGCTAGTGGTTGGATACGCATATGATGTTGGGTTTGGTGTTTTCTTTCTTTCTTTTTTCTATTTATCCTTTTTGTTTTTTAAACCGCAAAAAAAAAAAAAATCCTTTGTGTAGTTGTCTTTATAATAGAATTCATTCTAAGAGTTTATTTTGTTGTTTAATTTGCAGCCCATTCATGTGGTTCGTGGTTGTTATTTTCTTGCTTGTTGATGTGCACGGTAAGTCGTTCATATTCTTGGTCCAGACGACAAATGGAACTGTCAATTTCAACTAAAACCTTTTGCAATCAAGTGTTGTACTTCCCCAAGATGCACAAGCTTTTAGTTCATAGTTCTGAAGAAATATTGCCTCGAGTTAAATTCCATAATCTCTGATATGGCTTCAATTGAATCAGGTTGGAATGTGTTCCTCTGGGTATCATTTCTCCCACTGTTTGTAAGTACTAAAATTCCAAGTAATATTTTCTGTAACATGCGAATTCTTTTTTAAGTAGTACTTCAGATTTTGGGTTATCTCAAGTTTCTATCTTTTTACATGTTGAACGCTTGGTTTGATTAAAAAGAAAATTTTTTTTTTATGGTGAAACTTGCCCATAATTTTTCTTTACCTTACAAAAAATTTTCTGTAGACTGTTCTAGTAATTGGAACTAAGCTGGAAGTGATCGTGGCCAGACTGGCTCTTCGGCTTCAAGATCAGAACAGTATAATAAGAGGAACCCCGGTGGTGCAACCCAATGATAGCCTTTTCTGGTTGAATGAGCCGAAGTTTGTCTTGACTCTTCTTCATTTCACTCTTTTCATGGTAAGTCCTCCTCCTTGCTCGCAAACATTCAATTCTTAATCAATAGGGGAAGAAGAAAACTAGGTGATTTTCTCTTTGATTTTCTTTAGCTAACTAAAAATTTTTTTTTTTCTCATTGCAGAATGCATTTGAATTCGCATTCTTCATATGGGTTACGGTATTTATGAATTCCTATTTCATTTTCTCTTCATATAAAATCATTCCCATAGTTATGTTGTTGATTTCTTTTCTTTTTGAAATTTTGTTCAGTTACAATTCGGCATAAAATCTTGCTATCATGAACGAGTTGAAATCATCGTTATCAGAGTTGTATTAGCGTAAGTAATTGTGGTGCTAGATTTTAGACATAATTGTCCATAGTTTTCTTGCACTGATAATGTATACAAGATTAATGAGTGTACAGTCTTTGGGCCGAAAACTCACATCCACTATGGTTCTTTTCCAGGGTGATGGTTCAAGTTCTCTGCAGTTACATTACCCTTCCCCTTTATGCTCTTGTAACCCAGGTTTGTCAACCATTCCTCACCTGGATCTTGATTTCGACTCCTAGACTCATCATTCAAATCTCTTTTTTTTTTAATATTCGTACATTAAACCTAAGAGTATGAAATTCTTTCAGATGGGCTCACGGTTTAAAAGCACAGTGCTACATGAACAAACTGTTCACGCCCTAAAGAAATGGCATGCAGATGTGAAGAAGAAGAGAAAGAATCAAGCAGATACAAGAGATCCTAACCACTACAACGATTATTCTTCAACCACAAGAAGCATAAGCACAAACAGTACACCTGATGTATCCTCTCATCGAAGAATGCCAACCCTGGCAGAGTTTGCTTCTGGTACAGGGGCTGATGAAATCGTGGAAGAGCAGCCCCATTGCCAACAACAAGAAATTGTTCATCAAAACAAAGAGGACAGGATACTTGAGGTCTCAGAAGTTTCACCTAGTGATAATGGTGATGTACAAATACAAATGCCAGAGCTGATTAATGCTATTCGACAATGAAAGATTTGATTGTTGATCAAATACATAAAGTTTTGATTTTTTTTTTTGGTACGCTATGCAGCTAATACTGCATCAAAAATCATGTACATATGCTTGACTACAATGATTACAAGAAACTTCATAGGGACAAAGAGGCCCCATGAACTGAAGAAATATTAACCTTTGGCAGGTACTTTTGCTTCTGAGTAGGGTTCCCATTCCTCACCTACAAGCAGCGACCAGCTTCGGTAAGTCATGATCACTAATGAAACATGAGTTGCTTATGATTGATTTGAAAGTAAAAATTTTTACCAACTGATTGATACAAAGGTTGGAGTGGGCGCCATACGAAAGCCCAACAGAACCAGATGCCCGACTAATTTCCTCCATAGCTATGCAGTGTTCCAGATAGCCAAGGCCAAGTCCTCCATATTCCTCTACACAAGAGCAGAAACTGTTAAATCATAAAATAAATCCAATTTGCAATACAACACGGATTGATATCCAAAAACAACGTAGACACAAAGCTACATCTGTCAACATCTGAATATCCAAATTCCTCCTCGATGCTGGCAATGACATCATATCACAGATGACACTTTTAAGAAATGCCAAATACTTGCTTAGCAGTAATGTGTGCGAGCGTGCATGAGTGAGAAAGAGAGAGAGAGAGAGAGAGCCAACACAATGTTGCCTGCACCATGAAGTAAAACTATTTCAAACCAGTGAGTGGACATGTTGAAGACATTCCTATGATACTGCATAGGCCACTTAAAATCTTGAGGCAACCAATGCTATACACCATTGGACAAAAGAGATCTTCATACTTCCTTCTACATAACTAATCCCTACACATTCATATCTTATTGGTTTACAGCATGCAAATGAAACAAATTTAGTTCTTTGTTACCTAACACAGGTGACCCTAGCATATTTATATCTTCTTCCACCTCTCCCCAAAGGAAGAGAACATTCAATACCTTACAATCCAAGAAGAGCAATCGACAAATGTTTACTTTTTAATTTTGCTTTTGAGAATCCTAGGAGGAAATTAAAGGAGAACAGGAATAATTGTTGAGGTTGGAGGAATGGCAGCGGTATTCCAGTGTGTCATTTGCACATTGGTGTTGCTACATTTCTTGTCAGCCAAACACAGAAAATTAGGAAGCAAAGCTGAATTAGAGTGTCAAGAGAAAGGTTTACGGTGTACCTGGAACTGTTATTCCATGGAGACCAAAATCTCCCATTAGTTTCCATAAGTTAACCTCCTGCAACAAGAGTTCAGAGTCAAATTTCCATCACTCAGCCAATCACCTATAAAGATCAAGGGAAACCATCTCACACGACCTCTGGAAAATAATTTGTTGTGTCTATTTTTGATGCACAAGGAGCAATATTTTCTTGAGCAAAACGTGCCACACCTTCTTTAAACTGCCAAAAAAAATCGAACTAAATAGTCAGACAGAACTGTTGTAACGGAAATAGAGGAAGAAACCTCAGGTCTTAACATACAAAAGTGGAAGAAAGACACAATCAACTCTAGTATGTTCTGCTTGCGCCATTGAGTTTGCCAAGACAAGTTGAACTCATTAATTCTATCTACAGATAAGCATCTACAAATTTTTCTGGCACCAAAGAAAATAGAAGCTATGCATGAACTACAATCAGAACGAGTACAAATAATTACTGGTACGGTAACTTGCAGAACTATGAACACGTGAAGTGCTTACAAACTTCTGAACTTCAGAAAAAAAGGTTAGTGGAGTAGCAACTATAACAAGATAAGGAAACCAATCAATTTGACCGTAATGAGAAAAATTCTATCCACAGGAAAAAAGGAAAAAGCAAAACAAGAAAATGTAATAAAAAAAATACAATAACAGAAAAAGTTATCCACAAAAGAGTTATTACATGACATTACATGAAGCACCAAAAGGTTCCCTGCTAAAATCAACAACCACATTAAAAGACTGTATCATATACTATACCAAAACACAATTGGTAATTGCCAAACAACTTAATAACAAGAAAGGAACAGAGAATACCAAAATGAGCCAAAGAAAAAGGAGAAGAAGAACAGCAATACACAACATGGAAATGATTGTATTTGGTCCGAAAAAGATTGGTTTTTATGCTCAAATTCTAAAAATTCTGACTCTCTAAAGTAGCCTGACAGAAGAATTCAATAAATTTGATGTTCTTTAAGATTTTAATCCCAGCAATCAGTCCGAAAGGGATGGTGGGTTTTATTTTACATGGCCCAAAACTTGTAGGCACTCCAATATTATGTAAGCCTGCATTTGATCCCTTCTGCAAAATCGAATCTTTACTGCCCATACACTTCAAATCAGACCCAATATCGTATAGAGGGAGTGTTCGGACAAAAACCTGTTTGCGTGAATCATCAAAGAATGAGGAAGTGGAGAAAGCAGCAGCGCTCTGCCTCTGCTTTCTCAGAAAACCTGAGGCCAAGGACCTCACTGCCCACATTTTCTCAATCAGAGCAAACCACTAATAACCCAAAAAAGGAAAAAAAAAGTTTAAGGCCTTTCTGCTGATTCTAAAATCTTGGGTATGGAAGTGAAGTTGGGACTAGATATATTTAGATGAGAAGAGGAAGAAGTGGCTTTTGATTCTTTATGAGAAACGTTTAGCGCCAGAGTGCAGAGATGGTGGCACAGTAAGGCTGGATACACCGTACAATCGCATTAGAAAGGTCCAACAAACTTAGCGTATATCAGTTTAACACGTCAAAATCACTGAAAGCATACATTGTATTAGGCTGCATCCCTTTTTTCTTGAATGTGTAGCCTCCATCCTGTCGCCTTCATCCTTTCGGCAGTGTGGCTAATGCTTAAAATTATATACTATTATACCATTAGCGTGTATTTATAGAGATAATTTCAGAAACCTCGCCTGAGGTTTCCAGTAATTTCACTTGACTCCCCTAAAGTTTCAAAATTATACTTATCTCCCTTATTCATTTAAAATGACGATACTAACTTTAATATTTAAATAAAACTCTGTTGTTGCCATGCTTACACAAATGATGGATTTTATAATTTTGTTTTCCTTTTTTTCTTATTCATTTCTCTTATATTTTATTAAAAGTATAGAAGATTTATCAATGTTGTTCTTAATATCTATCGAAATCAAACGTTAAACTAGTATTTTTTTTTATAACTTTTAACATCATCCATTTTTTTGTAACTCTTTTTTGTATTAAAATCAAGAATAAATCAACAATAATTAAAAACAAATGGCCCAAAATCACTATCAAACTATATGGTAGTTCTATCACTAAACTAGTCCATAAACTTTTATTTAAAAAAAGTAGTCCACAAACTTTAAAAAAAAAAAAACAACACTTTATTCTCTATTGTAAAAAGAATCTATACCCCCCAATAAAGTTCCATAAAAAATAGCCTATTATAGTAAAAAAATTATTGTTATAGTTGATTATTAAATAACAAATATTCGTATGAAGAACTCAACCCTCTTTGTTTTATAATTGCGCTAAATTACTTTATAATTGTTTAGAAGAACAAATTAAACTTTATAAGATAAGGGCATTTTAGAATGTTTATTAAATTTTTCACTCTATTTTAAGATTTGTTACCAAAATGTCAAATTAAGAGAGATAAGTATAATTTCTAAAACATCAAAAGAACTAAGTGAAATAGCAAAGAACCTAAGGGGATGCTTATGAAATTATCCCATATTTATAATATCTATCTTTAATGGACGAGGGATGACGAGCTTCGGAGGTCAATCTGTTAAATTGGTTAGTGGTTTATCGTTAGGTTACTAAATTTGGATACCCCAGTTGTTAAAGGGTTAATTTCAAAAACCTCCCCTAAGGTTTATCATAATATTACCTATCATCCCTAAAGTTTGAAAAATCTTATATAGCTCCGCTTGAATGATAATATGGGTGACATTGTCACCCCTTATGCCTAAAAGTAATATTAAACAATGCATTAGAGGAGAGAGAGATTATATATCTTTTCACTTTTACTCTTGTACAATTTGATTTATGAATTTTGAAATATGAAAAAAAAAGACAAATAAAGTGAAATATTAAACTTAGAATACGAGAAATGGTACATTTAATAAGTAATAAATTTAATCGTTTTATAACTGGATAATACTATTGAGTGCAAGAGTAACATCAAATGCTGCTTTAACATTATAGAAATGCAAAAGCTCCAATAGATTGGTTGCAGAAATTAAGAGCAAAGATTTTGTAATAAAGAGACACCAAAATTTTGCCATAAATAGAGAAACTAGAATGAAAATTTTAGGAGATCAGTCCTACAATTTTAAATGTACTGATTTTTGGATTGGTTGGGTGTGGCAAAGCAATGATGGAAGCCTTCTTGTCTTTCGTTCACAATCCCGAACCTTCCTCTTTGTATTTTATTGTCTGGAGGCCAAGCCCTCAATCGAGATAAGCCCCGAACAAATTTATCATTTTCGATGCTCGCGCCCTTGCCATGTGCCACATCATTGACACTTGGGACGTAAATGCTTCTAAATATATTTTTTTTGAGTTATTTTTGTTGTTGGACATACGTGTTTATGTACTCCCTCCGTCCCGTTTTGTTAGTCTTGATTTTTTTTTCACACAGATTAAGAAAGTGTAATTAATTTGGTTGGAAACATAAATTTAAATTAATAATTTCCTAAAATACCCTTATGCTAATCACGAAAAGTGCCAATTAATATCAGTTACAGCTAATGGGTTAGTATTGGAAAACTCAATGTATTCAATGTAGTTGCTCGCAGAGTTTATCTACGAAAAAAGATTGAAAAGCACGATATGTGAAAATAATATATATATATATATATATATATATATATGTATATAGAAATCCTTAAAATCAAGAAGGTGGACCATCATTTAATTCATGCCTCACTTAGAATAGAGCTTCTTGTACTTGCTAAGGAAAAAGTAATGCATTTTATAATTTTATGGGCAAGTTTCAGTTTGTTGAGGAAATTTGGTTAATAAATAGGACAAAACAAGTGATACAAATCTCTTATTTTAGTCAAAACAAATTTTAGAAAGATATGCGATTCTTCCATATTATCATGTTTCTTTTGTTTCTTCATGAACATCTGGATTTTCGGCCAATAGAATTCCGGACCAAATCCTACTTTTCTATCAAAGTGATTTTAGAGAGGGCGACTTTTGGAAGGAGTAAGCTAATGAGACAGTATTCCTGCCATTCTAGTTGATTCACCATACATACAAAGAGCAATGTTGTTAAATTCAAATCGGATCAAAGGCCAATTAGTCGGATTGTCGGACTGTTCTTAAAAATTTGCTGACATCAGCATGATGTCATAATTATTTTATATTTTTATAAGTTTCAAAAATATTAAAATTAAGTTCTTCATTATATTCAGCCAATCATACAAAATGTTCCAAAATCAAATATAAGCCTAATAATTATATATATAAATGTAAATTGATGGCTAAAATATGTCCATTCTCCAAAACCATTTGAAAAATTAAATTAAAACAAATTAATGCAAGTTGGAATCACTTATGCTAAATTGATAAGATGATAAGAATAATAATATCTTGATTTAAAGATTAATCAAGAAAGCAAGTGATTTTGGTATTTACACTAATTGGATACCATTTTCATATTTCTATTAATAAATAAAAGTGTTACAATTTAGCTAACTCAAATTATGTTTGGAGAAAATAAAAAAGAAGAGCTTGAAAATCAGGTCAACCAGTCGAACCGAATCACTGGTTCAGCTAATTTCTTACGATTTTGACTTATTTTTGACCAAAATGATTTTGTGTTACAAACCAGTTCGAAAAAGAAGGCCAGTTCACGGTCGAACCGGCCAGGCTGGTCCAAGTCTAACAACAGTGTACAAGGGTCTTCATTTAGCTGTCTCAGCAAGTAATATATTACAATTACTGATATGTGTTTTTTGTCCCATGTTTTATCTTATAATCCATCAAAATATTATCCTGTTCTTGCATGTAATCTGTCTCCATACAAATCTGATTTTTAATACTAATCCTACATGCCCTACTTTGTCAGCATTAACTAGTGGGTAAGCATTCGCCTGATACTCTTAAAACCACCTAATTCTTTTTTTTTTCCAACAAACGTTGACAGATTCATATATATAAACACTTGATAGTACAAGGATTAATCAGAAAACCACCCAATTCAATACCCAACATTGGCTGCTTCTATAGTGCCAAATTGACATCAGATTAAATGATACTCAACTTTGACTCAACAAAAAAAGAAATAAATAAAACCTTTACAGGGTTTCTTATAATGCAGTAATTCAATATGGACTGAAATGAGAGATCTTTATTTACAAGAAAAATGAATTGAAAAAGAAAAGAGAGAGAAAGAAAGAAGAGAAGAGCTTGAAATAGTTAAGTACACCATCCCTTTTAGGTCCTTAGTTATATTTTCAACCAGTTTTCAGTAATACGCCAGAGAAACTATGTCAGATGCGTTTGCTGCATGTTTCGTGAAAATGGTCGAGCTAGCTAGCATTTGCACCAAAGAAAAAAAAAAGTTGGAAGAAGGTGGAAAATCGTCAATAATTAATGGAATTCTATGCAGATTCGACGGCTTCCACAAGTTGCTTCCATGGCCATGGGCAAGAATCTGAAAAGACAGAATAAAAATACAGCCAAAACCCCACGTGCATGTGTAGGGAAGATGATCTCCTTTTGTTTCCCTTGCAGATAAACTTGATGTTGGAAAAGCAAAGCATATGAATGTGGCGGCCACAAAAGCTCACCTTAAGTAAGTAAGTTGTAGTGCAAAAGTATCATTAATATTTTCAGTATTTTAAGGAAATGAAAACAAGAGTTTTCTGATTTTTCTTTTTTGGGCATTTGAACAAATTAAGTGCAAAATTACTGGTGAGCAAAAGTTAGATGGCATAGAAGTAATCTAATTTAGTATTGAAAAAAAAATCAGGACGCCTGCTGAAGTTTATTAATTTTATTCTTCTCAATAACAGCCATAAATTCATTCTAGAAAAAAAAAACTAATTTTCGTGAATATTAGGAGTTAACTTCAAAGGTTCTTGAACAATACAAGATAAAATCACGACCATAGTTTAATAGGCGAGGGTAGTGATGAAAGGAATCCAATAGGCCGGCCAAAGTAGACCGCACTTTTGCTAAAAAAAAAAAATTTTGTTTTGGGTGACTTAGCGCTTAAACCCATGCATTTAGGTATTCTCAAGTAATAAATATTTAACCACTGGCGTCGGCCAGTCTTTCCCGCTGTCAAGTTCAAAGTTTGAATACTGTACTTGATTGTTGTGGGAGGTGGGAGAGTAAAAAGAAAAAATTGATAAATACTCTGTAAAATTTAAGAGAATGCCAAATATTGAGCAAGAAAATACATTAACAAATAAGGGTTATGCTTTGAAGTGCTAGTTAATAAAACTAACAAGGTCTCAGTTAACGGTTTTTAACTCGAAGAATTAGCAGAATTTTATCTTCTAATTTCTCTTTTGAATGTTCAAGTTGGCTGTAAATAATTATCAATTACAATTTGTCAGTTCAAGATGGTCCCTATTCCCCTGCTTAAGTACTTCAACGTTCTAATTGTGGCTTACCTGTTCTACAACAAAACAATAGCAAAAAAAAGCAAAGACTCAGCCCAAAGACCAAAAAAAAAAAAAAACTATTTTGTCAACTATCGTCCAAGCTTGAGGCAGCAGTACTACTACTGGCCGAAGAAATGCTGCTGGATTGAGATAATTCGGCATACTTG